CCCTAAATATTTACAGTCTTAGAAAGCCCCCAAAATCAATGGTTTATTTATGTCTTTGGGGGCTGTTATGAGTTGGAATTGACTCAATGGCAGTGGATGGGCATCTGCAGATACTTTTACTCAAAATAATTTAAAACCATGGCATTCTCTGGAATAGTGAGTGGCATCTCTGGTTGTCATCCACCGGGTCAATGTATTTTCTTTGAATTGCTTGTTGTTGATCTAAATGATGCAAGTTTTGTTGAGCTTCTCTGGCCCCTTGGAATGATTAGCCAACATTTACAACATGGGAAATTTCATGCAACCATTTGGGTCTCCAGAGTCTCTTGAAACTACTAGCAACTTAGATAACACAAGGCCTCACTGTTTCTTGGTAGCCACTGGCTGGAGAAGGCACACCGGCGCCTCTTCTTCCCAGGCCTGTGTGTGCCAGGACTGTCCAATCCCCAAAGCTCTCGAGGCTGACTCTGAACCAGCCAGTCTCACCTAGCTGTGTGGCTGACCTTACTCCTGAATCCACTGGACTTTCTGGTCTGAGTCTTTCAAACGAATGTGCTTCTCAATGTCAGTACAGATGCTTATCTGCCAATACCACTCATGTGTTGACTATGAATTGTTAGGAATTCTGGGAAAGCACCCGAAATAACTGAGAACGAAATCCTTACAACACAGGATTGTGTCCATGCCCTCACTTGACGTCTCTCTTCCCCAGCTGTACTGTGCATGCATGAGACTTTTTTTGGTCTCATTTTTGGCCTGCCACATTTAAAGCCAGTACACTTCTGATATGTTACAAGTGTTGCCATAAATCCAATTAGATAGTGAATTGCTATGTTCCATTTTATTAGTTCCCTTCCTTGGTTTATTTCCTGCTGACCACACCCTGAAGGAATCCTGTTGGCATTGTTGGGTAAAGAGATGGGCTTTTAACCACAAGGTTGGGGCATTGAACCCTCCAGTTACTCCTGGGGTGGGGGATGAGGAGGCACTCTGCTCCTGGAAAGATTTACAGTCTTAGAAACCCTATGTAGGGTTACTCAGAGTTTGGACCACATTCTTCACAAAAGTAAGTGTAAAATAGTATGGCGTTTCCCAGAGTTTCAAACTTTACTCAGCCAGGATGCACCCAATGTAAAGTACCTGGATTCAGAACATATTTAAAGCACTGAACATCTTGCTATTTATTAAATTAATCACTTTTCATATTTCCTTTGAATCTTCTTAGTTTCACTGTATTTCACCAATGCTGAGCTAGGAGTTTCATGTAGCATTACTTTTCTTCACAGTTGTTTCTTCTGAAATGAAAATATTTACTGTATATACTTTTAGAGAATAAAATATAGATATTGCCACTGCCATTAAGGTTGTAGGTCTTCATATGAGTAGCTAACCTCATCTTTCTCCTGAAGAGCAGCTGATGGGTTTGAACCATGAGACTTATGGTTAGTGGTTGAATGCTTACCAACCAGCAGTACTCAAACCAAATAAGAAACTCACTGCCATCAAGTCGATTGTGACTCACAGTGACCCTATGGGGTTTCTGAGATTGTAACTCTTTATGGGAGTAGAAAGCCTCTTCTGTATGCTGGTGGTTTAAACTGCTGACCTTGCAAATAACAGGCCCAATGGGTAAGCACTACACCAACAGGGCTGCTTAGCAGTACTCTAGGACTCCTTAAAAACACATAATTTTAAAAGTCCAAGTGAAATCCGTAGACATGTAAAGATTTACCTCTTTTCTACCTTTCTATAACCGCTACTTCTATCCATGGAACCCAAGAGGATGGAACACCATATAGCGTTTATTGGTAAAACAAAAAAACGAATCAAAAATATTGGGAGCATTTTGTAAAGCAAGTATTTGTAGAAACAAACTATTAAGTACACTCCCACATTTATGTGGGTGATTCCATGTGTAAATCTAGGCATCAATTTTGTGCAGCCTCACATTCTACCAGAGAGTATTTAATTTGACACTGAAGGGTGTAGAGTTTAGGTTCGTCTGGAGTACAGACACCATGTGCTTAATTACAGGCTGTTGGAGAACAGATATTCATATACAGAAGGAATCAGATAAATATTAGACATGTCAGTTTACTTTACACACATGTGTACAGATTTATTTTTCTTAATATTCAGAACATGTCCTTCCCTCAGTTTGATACCCCGCACTATGGGATCAACTACACTGGCTCCATCAGAATCAGCTCAAGCAGATGTGTGTACCAGGAAGACCCATAGGATGGACCATTTAGTCCCATTTACAAAATGCATGGTTCTCTGCATACGAACGAACACCACCTGAAGGAATTAGTCTACTCTCCCTGTCCTGGGCATTGGCTCTTTTCTCTCTTAGACAGCTTATCTAGAATTTCCAAAGTGGAATTGTTCTCTCCCTAAAGACTTAAAGTTATAAAGACCACACTATGTGCTCATTTGTCACATTCACTGGGAGATAAAGGTATGGGAGTGGGGGTGGGGGGTGGGGGGTGGAAATCCGGATTGCTCCTCAATTCTAGTTATTCAGTAAGAAATTCTTTAAAGTCTTTAAATATAAGCCAACCATTAACTCTCTGTGATGTTATTACTAAATTCTATCTTACCCTCTTATTATAATGCTATTGATTAAGGAACAACACAACTTACACAAGTAAATCCATTTTCTGATGGAAAGTGTATAGGTGTTGCATTTGCATTGGTGTATTTTCATTCATGTGTGCACCGGGCAAGGCTTTCATTTCCCAAATCTTTAGTTCTTACATTTGCAAATCATACCTGACTTAATACTGTGAGGAAGCTATTAGAATTTGAGTTATTAAAATGTAATTGTTCCTCCCATTTTTCCAAATGTCCTCTCTCCTCGGAAATAAAGAATCAAATGTTGTTCAGTAGCATTGATCCCATCAAATAAGTTTGCAAGTCAATCTGACTATTCTTTTTTTTCTGACCATCAGGAGAAAGAGATCTTTTGCATTTTATCCGTGTGCCTGGACTTTTGTGAAAACATGAGATAAATGGAAATAAAAGCATTGACTTAAGCAGTCCTCCTATACATATGCAAAATGAATATGCAAATTAATAGGGACAATTAGCTGACTTTGTGTAGGCTGAAAGCAACAGGATAGATCTCTGGTTATAATGCATAACCCATGAAAACCATGTGAAAATTTTTTTCTGCGGAAAATCTTATGATCTGTCAAAACTGAGTCCTGTAATTTCACTTCGTTTGCTTATGAGGCTCCACGCCCACCCCCAATGGTCATACTGATTTCTCATTCTCAGTGGCATCGAAATGCAGCTGTTCTCTGTTCAACATGGGAAATGTCTAAGTTATACCAAGAAAGCTTGTGGAAGTGACTACAAAGACAGTGATTGCTTTTTTCTTAGAAAGCAGATTCCTTTGCAATGAGTTTTTCCTCACTGCCTGCTTTTCCAAAATGAGTAAGTTGAACAGGACTGTGTTATCGGAGCCTCATCCGAAAGCTGGTATCTCCCCCACCTTCCAGGTTGTCATGGTGTGATCTGCCGATGCTCCAAAAAGACTCTTTCCACTCATATTAGGATCCATGCAAAATGCCACTGGTTGAGGGTTTTTTCTAA